AACTACCAGCCGCTCCGCGGGAGAAAGATGAGGCGTTCTGCTCCCGTAAAGATTTACAGCCTCGGAAACCCTGTACAGGGTCGCTATGGGTCGGATCCGACTCGATGGCACTTAACAACAACAACAACAAATGGTCAAGAAATTATGTTGCTGTTGATGCTAAGTACCGTTGAGTTGGTTCCGACTCATAGCGACCCTGTATAGGGCTTCCAAGGAGAAACTGGTGGGTTTGAACTGGTGACATGTGGTTCACAGTCCAGAGCTAATCCTGCAGTGTCACATTAGGAGTCCACTTTAGGGCTAGATTAAATAAATTTAATAAGATTCTTGAAATAAGAATAATTCAACCAATAGTATGGAAATGGGGTTTGCATATCTTCAAAAGAATAATTTCTCAAAATCAAGAGCTCTTTAAATTACCATTCTTGCAGAAACGTGCTTACAAAGAACACAGTTTGGGAAATACTGTCTTATAGATTTCTCTATTTGGCTCCCCTAATTCTCAGTTATTGTCTTTTTTAAATAGGCATAAAATTCTTAGAAAATTATTTGAAGTGTAGGGGAAACAATGATTCTCAAACCCACACCTGTAAGCAGAGTAAAGATATCTCAAAGATGTCTAAAAACAGAAAGGATTTAAAGTATCAAATATGTCTTTCACCCTAAATAATCTAAGTTTCATTAATACTTTAAATGCACTGTGAAAATATTGTACCCAGAAAAGATTCCTGGTCTCAAATAAGTAATAATGTATTTGAAGAAATTGAATTTTAACCGCTTGGCTGATTTTTTCATCAACCCTTCATAATGTACATCTGGGCTCTCCAAACTCAAATTTTAATCTCATACCAACTTCCTGTCTATTTCACACCTGCTTCCACAGTATTTGAATTGGTTGGTCTGATGGTTAAAAAAAGAAAATAATTTTAATACCAACCTGAGGAAACCTAATTAGAAAGTGACTCTGTTTCAGAAAAAATAAAAAAATAAATAAATGATAACAGAACATTGCACACTCTCAATGGTTTTACTTTATGCTGATATTTCTATGGCTGCTCCCCTATGTCCTTGGTTGGCAATATAAAAAGTGACTGTTTGGTTTTCCATTTTATCTGCAGAGTTGAAAATGGCCAGCCCTGCAGTGACTAATCATAATGCCTTTCCTGGGTGGCACAAATTATTAAGTACTCAACTATTAGCTGGAAGACTAGTAGTTCAAACCCACCCAGAGACACTCAGAAGTCAGGGATGGCAATCTTGAAATCTTTTTTTATTTTGAAATCAAAAAGTCTTGAAACCCCTTAGCATCATTATTACTCCTCACACATGGCATCACCATCAGACAGAATCAACCACAACAGGGTAGTAATGGAGCAAAAATGATGTCAATCTCTCAAAAATATCTACAACTGTGGCCTTATGAGGTATCAATCTCCTTAACTATCATGGAAGGGCATGGATCTAGACAGGCCATTCCCACTGAACCTCAGGACTGCCAAACTGCCTCTTCACCTCAAGATGCTTCAAAAGTAGAGGCAAAAGCGATCCCCCAAACTCCTGATTTCAGAAAACCAGAGGTGGCTGAAATAGAAATATTATAAAAATGTTTTCTATTTCTGACTCATTGGCAAATTTCTACCCCACAAAATTCTACTGGAATTGTTTAACTTAAAGGCATAAAAACAGAGAAGTAACTAGTATATAAATTTAAAATACTCCTGTTTTTGTTTTGTTTTTAAGCAGACCTCGAACACAAAACTTTAAGCCCTCAGTTAGTAATCTAATCAAGGATTAAATTGTACTTTTTTCTGTAACCAAATGGATTATCACTTTTAGCAAATATTCTAGGTTATAAATAGACTTTAGTGTGGTATCGTTTGAAGAAGATCTAGCCTATATTTCACACCCACATAGCTGGTGGCTTCGGTGAATTATTTGCATATGCAAGTTCATTCCTCAGGTTATACAAGTCACACAATAAATGTCAAATCAACACATTTTAAATTCAACCCTTCTCTTCAAAATGCACACAATGGCAGCAGCCATGCACCTGCTATTCTAGCAATCCAGCACATTTCTACCACAATTTTGGAGAAAGGATTTTTTGATGTAAATAGAATGTACACAGTGTGAATAAATGACACACTACCCAAGAAGTACACAATGGTCCCAGTCACAATAACTTCAGAGAACCACACAGACCCTCTACCAGGAATATACTTAAGAATTTAACTCATCTGCTGAACTAATAGGAGAGTCAGTCAATATTTCCTATTGCTCTTCTTACATCGCCTGGTGTCTTTTATAAACTAGTCACCTTGAGCAAAACTAGACACATTTTTCTATACACATTATGATGATAATCTTAAAACAAATAAGATGCTGAAATACTGAAAGGATAAAACGCAACTGTGGTTTCTAAACAGGAAATCGCATTTACCATGAAGCAGGCGTTGTTCCTGTAACTGCAGAGATCTGAACTCCACCCATTTTTTCTTTAAGGTTTGCTGTGAGAAACAAGAAAAAAAGTGCTAATTATTAGGAAGCTCCAGTGAAGACAGCAATTTACTTCTAGGTGCTGATATCTGTCATTACATTTTATTCTCTTCTTTCTGGTAGTAACAACCCCTCCCCATTCATTTGAAAGATTGAACGATTCTTGCTGTATAAATGGAAGTGTTAAGAATACACTTCCTCAAGAAATAGTCTAGTGGCACCTCGCCTGCAAGCATTTTCTTTTTTAAACAATTAAAATAATGAAATGTATCTATTTTTGTTTTCCAAAATAAAATATGTTGCTCATTTTTCAAATCCACTTACTAGCTGTTTAGGAAAAGAGTTACATTCTAGATCACCCTCATCAGTAGGACGAGCCCACACCTTGGGACTGCCATGAGAATTCAATGAGTGACAAACATAAACTGTTTAGAAGAGTAACTTGTTTGTTGGTTATCTGCTGTGGAGTTGGTTCCGACTCGTTGTTGTTGTTAAGTGCCATAGAGTTGGGTTCCAACCTATAGTGACCCTGTATAGGGTTTCTGAGGAGCAGCTGGTGAGCTTGAACTGCCGGCCTTGCAGTTCAAACCAACTTTGCAGTTCAGCGCATTAACTAACAGCGCCACACCAGGACTCCGGTGCTGGACTCCGGTGCTGACTCATAGCAGCCCTGTATAGGGTTTCCGAGGCTATAAATCTTTACAAGAGCAGAAAGTCTCATCTTTATCTTGCAGAACAGCTGGTAGTTTCGAACTGCTTATCTTGAGCTTAGCAGTCCAATTTGTAACCACGATGCTATCAGAGCTCCTTAGAAATGTGATTTGTTGTTAAGTGCCATCAAGAAGATTCTGACTCATAGTGACCTTATATAGGGTTTCTGAGGAGCAGCTGGTGAGTTTGAACTACCAAGCTTGTGGTTCAAAACAACTTTGCAGTCCAGCGTATTAATCCACGGTGCCACACCAGGACTACAATTGACTAGAGAACTTAGCAAATGCTCAGTAAATATCATCAACGACACATAATTATTTTACACACACAGAAAGGAAACAGACTTGATCTCCAATGCTTCCTTGGAAGGTTAACTTAGAACACTGCTAAGCACACTGAATTATCAGTTTCTTCCTGGGCTACATACAAATCCTGGCTCAGGTGGTTCATAGTCAGGCACAGCCCAGACCACTGAGGGGAGTTGAGGCAGCAGAAAACAAACCAGGCATCTGTCAAGATACAAAGGTTCATTCTCCCTCCTGCTCCTTTTCCTCCATCTCACCCTTCCCTTATCATTCCCGACTGCTGGAGCTAGCCCAGCAGGTAGATTCATCTGTGGATGGTAGCATAGTGGTTACAAATTGGGCTGTGAACCAAAAGGTCAGCAGTTCGAAACTACCAGTTGCTCCACAGGAAAAAGATGAGGCGTTCTGCTTCCGTAAAGATTTACAGCCTCGGAAACCCTGTACAGGATCATTATGAGTCGGAACTGACTCCACGGCATGTAACAACAACATATTCAAAAATAAAGATAATCTAGTTGGAAACAAACAGTGTTTGCTCTATAAAGTGAAGGACCCTGTTCCTGATCAATAAACTGGCATTATAACTGTCCCCATATGTTGCCAATAAAGTCCTGCTTAAGCTTCCCGCCTCCTGAAAGCTTAAGTCTTTATTACATCAAGAGACACCCCCTGCCCCATTAGTTTCAGATTTTTGGAAAATCTCCATAACTCCACCCTTGGAAGCATGCCAAGACTTTACCAGGACTACACCTCCTTAAATACACCAGTCTGTAAGGGATGGCGGGCTCTTGGTCTCTTGTGACTTTGAGTTCCCCGGGTTTACTATCAATAAATCTGCCTGCTGTTGAAGCCAAGTTTCTCTCCTTGTCTCTTTCTTTCTTATTTCTTATGAACTAAAGTAATCTGGAAAACTATAGCTAAAGCCCACAAAGAAAGGGGGGGGGGAGTACATTTGGGAGGGGAATGCAAAAGAAAAAGAAGATAATGAAATTACAAGAAGGAGAACATCATTAAATGATTAAAGAAACACAGCTGTTTAGAAATTGGACCATCGCTAGGCAAGATTTTCCAAGGCTTAACAAGAGTAATATTTAGTAACAATCCTTGTCACTTCCAACATAGAATGCAAACAGTAAACCAAAGAATAAAATGCCTTGCTAAATTAAATTCTTGTTCTTTCAAGATTACGATAATGCCTACACTCACCTGTCAGTTTGTCATACTGTGGTGGCTTGTGATTTGCTGTGATTCTGGAAGCTATGCCACCAGTATTTTAAATACCAGCAGGATCACCTATGGTAGACAGGTTTCAGATGAGCTTCCAGATGAAGACAGACTAGGAAGAAAGAGTGACGAACTACTTCCGAATATTTAGTCACTGAAAACTTTACGAATAGCAGAGAAACACTGTCAGATATAGTGCTGGAAAATGAGCCCCTCAGGTTGGAAGGCACTCAAAATGTGACTGGGGAAGAGCTGCCTCCTCAAAGGAGAGTTGACCATGATAAC